AGTCTGGGTACCTTTGCTCCATTTCAGTTATTTGTTCAGCCAGCTGAGTTTATTTGGGTAATTTGTATGTTTGTATCTAATGGTCTCTCTAAGGGCTAAGCCCCCCTGCTGGACACAAGCTCATTCTCTCTCTCTGGTCCTGCGAGAAGCTCTGTAATAGCAGTGCTGGTTACCGTCTCAGTCACCTTTTTTCCTTTAATAACCTAATAAACCTTATTTTGATTGGCAATTTTGTGTCCTTTATGTGTTGCTTCCCTGAGCCCGGGTTATAACCGTAAGTGTGTGTGTGTGTGTTAACAGCCAGGTGTGTCTAAACTCAACTCAGGAATGAGGAACCTGTTTTACAGACTCAGACACGCCTGTTTCACACACGTCACTCAAACACAGAACCAGGAAACAGGAATCACATGAGTTCAGGGAAAGAGAAAGTGAAGTGTAGCTGAGCTGTTGTGTGTTTGTGACTCTGTATTCATGCAGTAAAATGGCAGAAGCCAGATTTTCTCAAGATGAGTTCTTGTGTCCGGTGTGTCTGGATCTCCTGAAGGATCCAGTGACCATCCAGTGTGGACACAGTTACTGTAAGAGCTGTATTACAGACTGCTGGGATCAGGAGGATGAGAAGAGAGTCTACAGCTGCCCTCAGTGCAGACAGACCTTCAGTCCAAGACCTGCTTTATTTAAGAACGTGGTGTTTGCTGAAATGCTGGAGAAACTGAAGCAGACTAAACTTCAAAGTGTGGTTCCTGCTGGAGCTGGAGATGTTCAGTGTGACGTCTGTACTGGAAGACAATACAGAGCCGTCAAGTCCTGTCTGGTGTGTCTGGAGTCTTACTGTCAGAATCATTTTGCCCATCATGAGGAGTTTCATTCACGTAAGCCACACAAAGTGATTGAAGCCACTGGACGACTGCAGGAGATGATCTGCCAGAAACATGAGAAGCTCCTTGAGGTTTTCTGTCGCACTGATCAGAAATGTATATGTGTGCTGTGTACGATGGATGAACATAAAAACCACGACACTGTATCAGCTGCAGCACAGAGGACAGAGAAACAGGTATTTAACACTAGACACTGATGAAATATTGCTGACACTCGTTTCATATGTGTTTATATCAGCACCATATTAACAGCTTACAGCATTCACACTGCACACCACAGCAGAAATGAACAGCAGCTGCAAGAAGAGTTTCACTGTTCTTTCATAAAATAGATCTTGATTAAGAAGCATAACATAATGGAGTGAACTATTCACCCATTCTTTGACAAAATATATATTTCTATTAGTCAAAATGTAGGTTAAATGCAGTCACAGACGTCACAGAAACACTGTCATTATGAAACTCTATGTTGGTGACAGTTTCGCTTTTATGATAGTTACACTTACGGTGTGAAACAGGCCTTAATCTTCATGTTAATTCATGTACGATGGTAGTAAATGTTTGATCATTTTATCATCAGAGTTTAAATCTACAGCCATTTTTTTGACGTTCACTATCATCTGTTTGTCCTGCAGAAGCAGCTGAAGGAGACGCAGAAGACGCTCCAGCAGAGAATCCAGCAGAGAGAGAAAGATCTTCAGCAGCTGAGAGAGGCTGTGGAGTCTCATAAGGTGAGTCTGGAGAAGAAGAGAAGTTTGTCTCCGTCTCAGTTCAGACTCACTGAAGCCTGAATCACTGTGTGTCCTAACAGCGCTCTGCACAGACAGCAGTGGAGGACAG